GGCAACAATGCTTCCCCAGAAGGGAATAGTTGCTTTGGAGGGTGGAGTCTATGGCTTTGTACCTGTCCGAGGTCCCACGCCTCCTGAAACCTCACCCTCTCCAGGCTCCATCCCTCACATCTCCAGGAATTTCCCACCTGGAGTTGGCAACCCTATCTCCTTACCAGCCAATCATCAACCTACCTTTATTTCCCCCTCACTCTTCAGCTTTCCACCCCCCACACGCCTGCAGCCTCTCCCGTGCTCTGAAGCCCTGACTGCTACGTCACATTGGCTGTCATATGGGGGCCACCTCAGCAGCACAGAAGGATACAGAGCCCACCATTTTCTCCAGGGGAACTGATCTCTGCCATCTGGAAAGCAGGTGTAATTCTGAGGGATCTCTAGCCCTCACCTGGAGATTGGACACATTTTACCTCAGAAGAGCAAACTGTTTAGAATGTTAGAGGCAAAAGCCAAGCAAGTTGAGGAAACCAATTTGGGTTATATTTCCATTGTGGGTGGGAGTGTGGCTAAGCTGGGCATCCCTGATGGATTAAAGTACCCTGGTCCTGCTCCTACATTTAAGAACATAAGAACATAAGAGACGCCAATGTTGGATCAGGCCAAAGGCCCATCCAGTCCAACACTCTGTGTCACACAGTGGCCAGAAATACCAGTGCCATCAGGAGGTCCAGCAGTGGGGCCAGGACATTAGAAGCCCTCCCACTGTTGACCCCCCCCCCAAGCACCAAGAAGACAGAGCATCACTTGCCCCAGAGCCCCTAGCTATACCTTGTGGCTAATAGCCACTGATGGACCTCTGCTCCATATGCTTATCTAATTCCCTTTTGAAGCCGTCCATGCTTGTAGCCGCCACCACTTCCTGTGGCAGTGAATTCCATGTGTTAATCACTCTTTGGGTGAAGAAGTACTTCCTTTTATCCGTTCTAACCCGACCGCTCTGCAGTTTCATGGAGTGCCCACGAGTTCTTGTATTGTGAGAAAGGGAGAAAAGTACCTCTTTCTTTACCTGCTCTTTCCCATGCATAATCTTATAAACCTCGATCATGTCACCCCTCAGTCGTCTTTTCTCCAAGCTAAAGAGCCCTAAGCGCTTTAACCTTTCCTCATAGGGAAAGTGTTCCAACCCTTTTATCATTTGAGTTGCCCTTTTCTGCACTTTTTCCAAAGCTATAATATCTTTTTTAAGGTGTGGTGCCCAGAACTGCACACAGTATTCCAAATGAGGTCTCACCATTGATTTATATAGGGGCATTATTATATTGGCTGATCTGTTTTCAATACCCTTCCTAATAATCCCCAGCATAGCATTGGCCTTCTTTATTGCAGTCACACACTGTCTCGACATTTTCAGTGAGTTATCTACTACAACTCCAAGATATCTCTCTTGATCAGTGTCTGCCAGTTCAGACCCCATCAATGTGTATTTATAGTTAGGATTTTTGGCTCCAATGTGCATCACCTTGCACTTGGCCACGTTGAACCCTATTTGCCATGTTGACGCCCACTTGCCCATCCCTTTGGAGTGCCTCACAATCCTCACTGGTTTTCGCCACCCTGAACAACTTTGTATCATCCGCAAATTTAGCCACTTCACTACTTACTCCCATCTCCAAATCATTAATGATTCCAAATCAATTCCAAATTAATTCCAAATCAACTGGGTCTCTTAATCGGTCTGAACTCAGACCTCTACGGAAAATTTGAGACGTGACTCTCTTCTGTTAGTTAGCTGAAATCCAGATCTACAAAATTATTTCTGCTATTAATTTGGGAAAATGTCCACCCTTTAGTTCCAGCCCACTCTTTTGCAGCAAGAGAGATTTACATATTTATATGAACAAACTCTCTTGCTCCAAAAGGGGGAACAACAAAAAGGTGGAAATCACAGGATTGCAGATATTGGCTAAGTAGCACAAGGAACTTTCTAATGTTAAGAAAGCAACAGGTAGTGGTGTCTCCTCCAGCAGAGGACATTAAGCACCGTACATGTTTAACTTGTGTTTGAAAACTTCTGTTACAGTAGTAAAGGTAAAGGTTCCCTTGCTCGAAAGCCAGTCGAGTCCGACTCCAGGGATGCGGTGCTCATCTCCGTTTCAAGGCTGAAGAGCCAGCGCTGTCCGAAGACGTTTCCGTGGTCATGTGGCCGGCATGACTAAACACCAAGGCGCACGGAACGCTGTTACCTTCCCACCGAAGTGGTACCTATTTATCTACTTGCAATTTCTTGCTTTTGAACTGCTAGGTTGGCAGTTTCAATAAACTGCTAGGTTGTATTTCAATAAACCTCTTTAAATGATCATGATGCCACAAGATGTGTTTGTGGTCATGAGTATCCGTGGCTTCAAAGGATTACATAAATCCGTGGAAGATGAGTATACGAACAGATGCTACTCATGATAACTCAGTGAAACCTCCATGTTTGGAGGTAGAAAATACAAAAGGGAAGTCATGCCATACCTAGAATTCATATTAACAAAAACACCTTCTTGAGGTGTGCCTTTAGCAATCCCATTGAAAAAAAGGATGAACATATATAGAGCTGAATTTTAGAGTCACATCCACAGGAACAAGGGTTTCCAAACTCCAGGTGGTTATGCAAAAGTATATAACAGTGTGTATAATATATGTATGTTTAAGGTAGATCAATTTTGTGCTTTTTCTTTTTTTAATTTTTCTATACTGTTGTATAAATATTGGTGTCAAATATTATCAAACATAGGTTTCACCCAAACTGTACATCAAAGTGCAGGTTTACATCCTGTTCAAACATTCAAACAGCACCTTGTCAGTATCATAATCACTAGTCCCACTGACTCTAGTAATTCACCCGTTTCGAATACAATCTTTTCCAAGGATATATACAGGGCGTGAGGTGCAATAATTTCTCCTTCTGAGAACAAAACTCTTAAGACAGTAGCATATTTTCTAAGGTCCCATCGGAACCTTTGCGGCAAACATAATAACCTATTTATGACATGCATGTCTCTCAAGTTCTATCAGGCAGCTGCAGGCGGTAGCTAAAGATCTCCCAGAATTACGCCTGGTCTCAGGATGACAAAAATCAGTTAGCCTGTATCATATCTGGTGGCGATCCCCCACAACCCCCCCCAGGCTCCACCCCCAAAATCTCCAGATATCTACCAAATGAAAACTGGCATCCCTAACTGGATCACAAAACGGGGAAGGAGAGCAATTTCGAATTACAAACCCCGCTTCTTTTTTTAAACCAAAGTGAAAAACCGATAGAAACAAGCATCGCATGCATATATACAACACACGGTTAATGTTGTTTACTTATATTATTTATATTTATATTAGAACATTTATTATTCTAATATTGAAAGATACATTATTTTAATTTTTCTTAAAACGACATTGGAATCCAGGTATGCCAGGGGGCATCCACCATCACAGTCTGGAGTGGGAAAAGAAGAACGGCTGCGTCTGGGACCACTACAGAGCCTGAGATGGGAGGGGAGGTCCTCCCTCAAACCACTGTGGGGGAACAACATCCAAACGAAAGAGGCTCCACAGGTCTGCATTTCGATAAGGTCAGAGCTCTGCTGAGATTCCATTCCATGCTACGTTCTGGAAAAAAGAATAAAAATGGAACAGGGGTGTCCCACTCTGATACTCCAACCACTCACTCAGAAGAGCTCAGCGCTAAGGAAGAAGTCAGTACAGAAGGACCTGTTCCTTCCTCCTCCTTCTCCTCTTCCTGCCAATCCAGCTGGCCAAAATGACCGGTGGGGAGGTTCCCTCCCTCTCAAGCTGGAAGTGCAGCCCCCTTCCCCCCAGGTAAGGAGGCCTCCCCGGCTGAGCAGCAACTCTGAGGTCACAGAAGCCATGAAGGAGTCAAAGAATAAGGCCCTCCCCATCACCTTCTGTCCTTCACTCCACACCTGTGAGATCAAGGCAACTACATCGGTTACCACCAGGAAGATGCTGCTCTTGGCCTGAGACAAAGGGGCCCGCCTGCTCAAACCATCAAGCCTCTATTTTCTGGGCTCCTCACCTCTCTCAACTGCTGGTGATGAGCTACAGCAGCAGCAGCGTCTTGCTTGGCCTAAAATCCCTTTCACCAGGGGACAAGATCGCCCTTCTGCTTCTTTGACCGATGCACTAGAAGCTATTTCAGAGTAGGGACCTGAACACTGAATATCAGCATCGGGTTCTTCCAACCGTGTTCCCTGCTGTCATCTCTCCAAGTGGCATGGGGAGACGAACTTCAGTTTTTCGAGTCTCTTCGATGCCATGTACTCTTGGGGTGGAGAACAAGAGGCTTCAGGTGGCGAAGGAGGGAGGGAAAGGAATCGGGAACTTTGTTCACCCACCTGAATCGTCGGGGCTCTCCTGTTGGCTGGCTGGCTGGCCTCCCCAAAACTCCACCCCAGGGACATCCCTGCAAGGCAACACGCATGGTGAGCAGGAAGGCTCCCAAATGCCTTCCACCGGTTTCCTCCGGGCTCCTCCACCACCCTCGGTTGGCCGACATCCACTGGCGGCCGTCAGCCAACATCCACTGGCTTCAATCCACGAATGTCCACTGGTTCATTCCCATTCACCCATCATCATTCGTCCATCAACCATACACACCAGTGCGCCATGCTGACCGCACCAGGCACGCCTGCAACGGAACACACCCATTCACAACCCATTCACACCCCCATTCAGCCCATCAGATTCAGTCTCCAGACATGCACATACCCGCCAGTGCGCCGTGCTGACCGCACCAGGCACGCCTGCAATGGAACACCCCCATTCACAACCCATTCACACCCCCATTCAGCCCATCACATTCGCTCTCCAGCCATGAACATGCACTCCCCGGCTTCAGTCCACGAATATCCACCCGCTTCCACGAGCCAACTTCTTCCAGCTTCCGTCAGCTTAACGTCATCGGGAGGTGTCGGCCGTGGCATCCACCAGGCTTCAAAGCACCAGTTGCCCCCTGCTCACACTACAAGTCCTCTCGCTTGCGCAGAAGAACTTGCCTGCTGGATCCTCTCCAATTCCACGCATCGCCCCATTCTCCGTCTCAACCTCTCCTCCTCTCTGGTCAGCCGTGATCTGCATGCTTGCCTCTGCCTGGGGGTGGAAAACAGAGGAGGACTCAAAGCCCGGTCTGAGAACTCGGGGCCACCTTGAGCTCAGCCTACTGGGTGACCCTCTTGCTCCCCTTCCCACTCCCTGGACCCCTACAGAAAGGAGGCGTGCCACGCCCAATGACATCCATTCCGGATGGATGGGTTACCATGTCATCGCCCCCTCCATCTACGGAGTTTGGGGTGGCTCCCATGGTTCTCCTTCCCACGTGTGGATCTCTCCGTCACTTGGGGAAGAGGGTGAGCTGAGTGGGAGACTGCCCCGAGGCAGGGGTCAAGCCCTTCTGGCTTAGTCAGGAAAGGAACCCAGGGCTCCGCAGTGTGGACTCCAAACCCTCTCTCAGAAGAGCTCTGCCCTGAAGAACACGTTGATGCACAAGGACCTGTTCCTTCCTCCTCCTCCTCCTCTTCCTGCCAGTCCAGCTCGCCAGAATGACCTGGGGGCTGCCTCCCTCTCAAGCTGTCAGTGCAGCCCCCTCCCCCGCAGGTAAGGAGGCCTCCCTGGCTGAGCGGCAACTGTGAGGTCACAGAAGCCCTAAAGCAGGCAAAGAAATGGGCCCTCCCCATCACCCTCTGTCCTTCACTCCAGACTTGCGAGATCAAGGGCACCTACATCGGTTTCCACCAGGAAAATGTGGCTCTTGGCCCAAGACAGAAGGGCCACCTGCTAAATCGATTGAGAGCAGCCTCTGTTTTAAGAACTCCTCGCCTCTCTCAACTGCTGGCAATGAGCTACAGAAGCAGCGTCTTGGTTGGCCTAAAATCCCTTTCACCAGGGGACAAGATCGCCCTTCTGCTTCTTTGATCAATGCACTAGAACCTATTTCAGAGTAGGGCTTGAACACGGAATATCAGGATCGGGTTCTTCCAACCGTGTCCCCTGCTGTCATGTCTCCAACTGGCATGGGGAGACAAATTTCAGTTTTTCGAGTCTCTTCGATGCCATGTACTCTTGGGGTGGAGAACAAGAGGCTTCGGGTGGCCAAGGAGGGAGGGAAAGCAATCAGGAACTTTGTGCACCCACCTGAATCGTCGGGGCTCTCCTGATGGCTTGCTGGCTCGCCTCCCGAAAACTCCACCCCGGGGACATCCCTGCAAGGCAAGACGTGTGGTGAGCAGGAAGGCTCCCAAATGCCCTCCACCGGTTTCCTCCACCACCCTCGGTTGGCCGACATCAACTGGCGACCGTCAGCCAACATCCACTGGCTTCAATCCACAAATGTCCACCGGTTCATTCCCATTCACCCATCATCATTCGTCCATCAACCATACATGCCAATGCACGGTGCTGACCGCACCAGGCACGCCTGCAACGGAACACCCCCATTCACAACCCATGCACACCCCCATTCAGCCCATCAGATTCAGTCTCCAGACATGCACATACACGCCAGTGCACCATGCTGACCGCACCAGGCACGCCTGCAATGGAACACCCCCATTCACAACCCCATTCACAACCCCATTCAGCCCATCACATTCGCTCTCCAGCCATGCACATGCACTCCCCGGCTTCAGTCCACGAATATCCACCCGCTTCCGCGAGCCAACTTCTTCCAGCTTCCGTCAGCTTAACGTCATCGAGAGGTGTCGGCCGTGGCATCCACCAGGCTTCAAAGCACCAGTTGCCCCCTGCTCACACTACAAGTCCTCTCGCTTGCGCAGAAGAACTTGCCTGCTGGATCCTCTCCAATTCCACGCATCGCCCCATTCTCCGTCTCAACCTCTCCTCCTCTCTGGTCAGCCGTGATCTGCATGCTTGCCTCTGCCTGGGGGTGGAAAACAGAGGAGGACTCAAAGCCCGGTCTGAGAACTCGGGGCCACCTTGAGCTCAGCCTACTGGGTGACCCTCTTGCTCCCCTTCCCACTCCCTGGACCCCTACAGAAAGGAGGTGTGCCACGCCCAATGACATCCATTCCGGATGGATGGGTTACCATGTCATCGCCCCCTCCATCTACGGAGTTTGGGGTGGCTCCCATGGTTCTCCTTCCGACGTGTGGATCTCTCTGTCACTTGGAGAAGAGGGTAAGCTGAGTGGGAGACTGCCCCGAGGCAGGGGTCAAGCCCTTCTGGCGCAGTCAGGAAAGGAATCCAGGGCTCCGTAGTGTGGGACTCCAAACCCTCTCTCAGAAGAGCTCTGCCCTGAGGAACAAGTCGACGCGCAAGGACCTGTTCCTTCCTCCTCCTCCTCTTCCTGCCAGTCCAGCTCGCCAGAATGACCTGGGGGCTGCCTCCCTCTCAAGCTGTCAGTGCAGCCTTATAAAATTCTGCTGTGAAGCTGTCTAGACCCAGAGACTTCCCCGTTTTTAATCCCTTTATTACCTCGTCTATTTCTTGAAGTGTAATTTCTTCCTCTAGACTTTCCTTGTCCAAATCTTTTAATCTTAACCCTATTTGCTCCTCAAATTCAACGTTTTTTCATATAAAGTTTTATAAAAGTTTTGAAATGCTTCTCTAATCTCTTTTGGGTTTTGTATTGTTTTTGCATTTATTCTAATGTTTTTCACCTTTTGCTTGTCTTTTCTACCCTTCAAATAATTTGCCAATCTCCTACTTGAGTTTATAGTAGTCCTCTGAAATTCATTCCTTACCATAATTTGTTTCTTCCAAAGCACCCTAGAATCAAGAAAGTCTAATTGCCTCTTAAGTTCTTTAATTGTGTTCTGTCTATTTTGACAGAATTTCTTTACTTGGTTTCTTTGTAACACTTCCAATTCTTGGATTTTTTTTCCCTATTAGAAAACCATTCTTTTTTTATTTCTTTTTATTTCATTATACATTGTCCCCTAATAACTGCTTTGGCAGCATCCCAGAGGATATCTGTGGCCACTGTTCCTCTATTTTCTTGGAAATATAATTTTAGCTGACCTTCAATGAATTGTTTATCTTTTTCCTTAGTCATAAGTATGTTATTGTATCTCCATAGTCTTTTAGTGTGTTCCCATTTTATATCTATTTCAATGGTTGTCGGGGCATGGTCTAAAATCTATATCGGATGGGTTGTTATACTTTTCAATTCCCAGTTATTTGCTCTTTTGAAATTATAAAATCCAAATATGAAGCAGTTTTGTGTCTACTGGAAAAATGTGTTGGCTCAGGATTTAGTCTTAAGGCTTCATCTGCTTCTATTAAGTCCCATTTTCCCCACCTGATTATTTTATCTTTAGAGACGTCAATATTGAAGTCTCCTGCCATGATCACTTCCCCCTCAATGAATCCCTGCATCCTTTTTAATACTTTTATCAAGAAAATTTTCTGTCCCTTATTTGGGGCATAGATATTTATCAGTGTTATTTTCCTATTTTGGAATATACATTTAGCCAGAAGGTACCTTCCTTCTCCATCTCTTAACACTTCTATTAATTTAATATCGTTCCTTTTACGTACCAAAATTGCCAGCCCTCTCGCCTTAGCTGTGCTTCTTGCTTCAGCTAATACTTCCCATTCTGGGTCTTTAAGCAATGGTTTATTATCCTTTTTTGCTTTATGTGTCTCTTGTAAACACATAATATCTATATCTTGTTGCTTTGCAAATCTAATAAGTCTATACCTTTTAAGGTCAGAACTTAGGCCATTGACGTTCAGTGTCAGCATCTTCAGCATTCTACCCATATTCTTTTAATTTAAAAGTCTCCTCTTCTTCTTCCTGTCTTGCTCTCCATGTTTGCCTCCATCTCATGGAAAAGCAGAGAGACAGTAACTAAGGGCTAGTTTGAGAACTAGGGGGGGAAGGTCCACTTTGTACCTCCTCCTCCTCCTAGTTGTCTGAGTTTGCCTGAGGTTAGCATCCTCCAGAGGCAGCCGTGTCCCTGAGGCAGCAAGTCCCCCTTTGATGAGGTGGCACTAGAGTGTCACAGGAGCTGAAGTCACTGCTGTAAGGTGTCAAGGAAGTGAATCCCTCTGCTCACGCATCTTAGGTCATTTTTGTGTTTCAGTTTTAATGTGTTGATACGTATCACCCCATTGTCCCATTTTTCACTGTATCCCTCTTCCTTGCTACTTCCTGTTTCCTGATCTTTGACTGTCCTGGGTTTATTTTATTTGAGACAGGTCGTTTGCTGCCTTCTCCCTTGTGGAACTCAAGGCGGCTCACCATATTTTTAAAAATACAAAAACACAATGAAACAATTATAAAACCTATAAAACCCACAAGTTAAACAACCACAGAGCCCTACAACCTCACCCCATTTTTTCTCTTTTTCTCACCTGTCAACCTCCTTGTTCTCCTGGCTTCAGCTCCCCCCCCACACCTTTCGACCCGTCACTGTCTCCCCCGGTTAAGTCTGGCTACGTTGTGGGGTGGCCGCCAACTCAGGGCTGGTCCCAGTTGTGTGGTTGCTGGTGCTGCTGTCAGCAGGCCAGGCCTGAGAGCACCATAGCCTCCGCTGCCAAGCTGGGCGAAATCATACTGGTTGTGATGCTGGCAAGGCCTCCTCCATCAGGGGACAGGACAGTCTAGGGGGAGGGGCCTTTCCTGGGTTGTTTCGGCCTCCCATTGCACTCCTGCTCCCCCTCCCATAGCTTTGCTCTCTTGAAATCAAGGCTTGGAATGTTTGGCAATCCTCTTGTGGTCACCAAGCGACCCCCAACAGCCACAGAGTCCAGTGGGCATTCTTTTCTTAAAGGTACAGATGTTTTCTGTGTTCAGTCGGGGAGTTTCCATTCCGTGATGTATTACTATTCCTCATCAGCTTTTTCTGCAAACTTGGGACTGCTTCAGATCTGAACAGAACCCCCCCCCCCCCCCC